GTGGGTTTATCTATGCAAGGTGTCCTATTTCACAAGGATGCCCCCAGGTTGGTGATGGAATGTTTACCTAAGCCCGGCCTGAGGCTTTCTGGCTCCATCTGGGTTTCCAGATAAGGGTTACTTAAACCCTATAGTCAAGGACCAGTAGGTGGTCCCTTGTGACTGGAGTCTGAACTTTAAAATTCTTCGGGCCTTACACTAGGGCCAGGAATATAGCTCAGCAGCATAAGCGCCTGCCTGGAAAGCGCAAGGTCTTGAGTTTGATCCCCAGTACTGCCAAAGTATAGTTATACTTATATCCCCTGGCCTGATAATGTACAGACAGAGGCCTTCCAGTTTGTGATTTTGCTCAGTTTGGCTGGTCCAGAACCTCTGAATCCCTCTCACAAGCCTGATCCTCTTAGTAACAGTTCGTACCTTCCCTACCCAAATATCCATAGAAAGGACATAGACCAAGTGTAATTGGATAAGTGAGATGAGGGAGTAAAATCCATTCACATATTAAGAAGTTATTAGTAAGACTGTTAAGTAACAAACTTCCTTCCCCCTTAGTTTATTTTATCATTGAGAAATCCTCTGTTAAGTTCATGGAGGACCTAGAAAAATCCAATTCAGGTTTTGGACAGTATTAAATCATTTTCCCAATTATCTTTTTAAAGAATTAATGGAAGACATCTCACAGCATCAAATTGAGGAGCTACCACCACCATCTCAAGAGCTGCTTGAAGAAATTGGTAATGGATGTTCCATGCAATACAAAATACAGGGGCCGGGGAGATAGCTCAGTAGAATAATCACTTGCCTGGCAAGCACAAGGGCCTGAGTTCAATCCCCAGTTCCAGGGAAAAAAAAACAAAAACAGAATACACTCCTGCCACTTTAGATTATGGGCAGTCATTACCAGATGGCTGTTGTTTGTTTGTTTGTTTTTCATTGCTGGGAATTAAACCCAGAACCACTTTCTGGCTAGGCGAGTAAGTGCTGTACCACTGTACATCCCCAGCCTCACTATAGAATTTCTGTCTGAGATGGAGCACTGGAACAAAAGGCCCTACAGTAGTCTGGGTCTCTTTGTTGTTATTTTGTTTTTGTCTTTTTGAAACAGGATCTTGCTATGCAGCTCAGACTGGCCTTGAGCTCACTTTATAGCCCAGGCTGGTCTTTTAACTTGCAAATCCTTCTGAGTGGCACAAAACTTAATGAGACCAGAATTTTCAGGCAGACTGAATAATATTGACTCAGTTTTACTTGCAGCATGGCTGATGCTGACAGTAGTGGTGCATGTAGTGACATTTGGGATTAGTGATTTAGCTCCACAGCAGTGGTACAGACCAGCCCTGGCTATTAGAAGAAGGTTCTCATTGGTACTATGGTGGTTCAGTTCTTGCTGTTGAGCCTTGTAAAAGCAAGGAGATGGATATATGTGGCCACAGAAAGTTGGGGTTCAGATCCTTACCAACAGAGAAGAGCCATATTGTGATTTTATGTAGATGAAGGTAATCATACATTGCCACACAAGCAAGGGAGAGCTCCAAAGTTGAAGAGGAATCCTCTGGGGAAGGATCTTTGGTAGACGAGAGAAAAACACCACCATAGTATCCAGTTTGTCATTTTCTTTTGTATTTTGAGACAGGGTCTTGCTTTGTAACCCAGTCTGGCCTCAAACTCACCGCAATCTTGCCTCAGCCTCCCAAGTACTGGGAGTAGAAGTTTGTGTCACTGTCTGACCTATTAGGTTTTTTTTTAAGTACTATGTTCAGGGGCCAGGGAGATGGCTCAGTAGAATAAGTGCTTCCCTGGCAAGTGCAAAATTCTGAGTTCAATCCTGAGTTCCACCAAAAAAAAATAATAATAATAAGTACTATGTTCAGACAAAACTGACCTAGTACCAATAGCCTGCATGCCTTAGAGTGGAGTGTCTTTTTTTTTTTTTTGGCGGAACTGGTGATTGAACTCAGGTCCTTGCGCTTGCCAGGTAAGTGCTCATTCTACTGAGCCACCTCCCCAGCAGTGTCTTGGGCCTGGCTAAAACAAGGACATTGTTTTGTTTTGTTTTGTTTTGTTTTGTTTTGTTTTGTTTTGTTTAACAAGGACATTCTTAAGTGTACTCAAGGCCAACTGTACAGGTAAACACCTACATTTCACCAGCTCTTCATTTTTTAATCCGTTCCCTGACAGGCATAGAGAATATCCTAAGATTTACGCATGGGTATAAGGAATAAGGAAGGGCTGGTGAGATAGCTCAGCAGACTAAACGGCCTGTTTTGGCAAGTACAGGGACCAGGGGGTTTTTTTGTTTTTGTTTTTTGGTTTTTTTGTTGTTGGTGTTTTTGGTTTTTTTGTTTGTTTGTTTGTTTGTTTGTTTGTTTGTTTGCAGAACAGGGGATTGAACTCAGACCCTTGCGCTGGCCAGGGAAGCGCTTATTCTACCAAGCCATCTCCCTGACCCCCGGGACCAGGGTTTGATCCCCAGTTCCACATGCCACACTGGACCTGCTCTCGGCATGCTGGTGATGGCACACACCTGTAATCCTAGAACTGGGAAGGCTGAAAACAGGATCACTATGAGTCTGAACTACATAGTGAAACCCTGTACCAAATACATAAATGGAAAAAAAAAAAAAAAAGGATTTATAGGTCTGAATCAAGGGATAGCTGTCTATCCTGTAGGCTCCTTATCATACCTTAGTCTGTTCATTGGCCTGGTGAATTTTATTTTATTTTTCTTTTTTTTTTTTCAAAATTTTATTGATAGATAGCAATGAGACAGTTTCAAATCAAATCGGAAGTACAGTTTCAACAAATAGTACACTGCATATATTCTTCTTAGTGGTTAATTGCTATACAAGATGCGGACTTGAGATCCTATTTACAAACACCATTAGAACAAATCATTCTATTCATTAAGAGAATGCAACTATGTATCTATCCTAACCACTTTGAATACACAGATACAAAATGGACATTCATTGGTATACCCCATTTTTTCTAAGTTCCGTTATTGAATATTATAGGTGTGTAAACTCAGCAAAATTTTCTAAAAGAGTCCAGTAGCCCATAATAGCATTGGGTCTTCTGTTTAACTGGCAATGTCAGAAATTTTTGACCTGAGTCCCCCACAGCTCAACATAACAACATGGCTTTACTTCCTATATTTCGTCTTCATACTTTTCTACTGGATGGTTAAGACCAAGGTAAAGCAGGACCTGTGCAACAAGAGTTGTAGCTTTTTGGTCTGAGAAGGTCAGTGAAATGCCCTCAGGATTTATCCTGAGTGAATTTTATTTTCTTTCTTTTTCTGTAAAGTCCCTTTCTGTCCTTTTACTTCCCCATCCCCACCCCTGTCTCCTTCACTTTTCCTTTTCCTGCTGCACTGGTGATCATATTCAGGGCCTTGTGCCTGCTAGTAGGTCTATCAGTGAACTACACCCACAGCCCTATAGGCCCTGCCTTACCTCATTGAAATCCTGCCCAGTGTTGGGTCAGGGTCTTAGAGCCAGCATCCTCCCACACCCCTACACCCTGTGTTCTACCTCTAGAACTCCCAAGATAGTCCTTAAAAATTCCTCCTCTTCAATTTCTTTTAAATAACTGAGATGGAGGTCATTTCACACATTAATGTGTTACAGTTATTGTGAACTCATCAGGCCCACAGTCTCCCCAGTGAGTGTACAGCAAAGGCTTAAGTAAAAGAGCCAACTGGTATGATTTTGGGACCCCAGGAGGATCAAAACCTTTAACAGAATTTGAGATCCTCTGTGGGCTAAGACCAAGATCTACTCTGAGTGACCCGTATTTATTTATTTATTAAAAAAAGGAGAGGAAGACTGAAGAAATCCAGTTAGAAACATTCCAGAACCGGGCTGGTGGGATGGCTCAGTGGTCTAAAGCACCTACCTAGAACAAGCTGAGCTTAGAGCACAGAGACCGCGGTTCAATTCCCCAGCACCATATGCCAGCCAGCCCCGCCCCCTGGTGGGCTGAGCTGGCCACACACACACACATAAATAAATAAATAAATAAAATTTAAAAAATAAATAAATAAAAAAGACATTCCAGAACCTTGGAAGTCTAATCAAGGACTTCTCCAATAAGACATTATGTTAATTTAGGAGAACTATGTTATTTCCTGGAAGGTCTCACTCAGGAGTGAGATGCCTGCAACTATAGTCTTTGTGTAGTTAATTGAGGTTGGGACCAGGTATCCTTAGCTATGTCCTTCCTTGTCTTGTTCTTTGAGGTGTTCTGGCTTCACCAGCCACTACAGGCTTCTGTCAGGACCAGTGACTCATAAAGTTTCACTTGCTATGAGTTTGCTGCCCATCTCTAGATGAGGGGCCTAGGCCATGGACAGACTCAAGTAGACATGGAGAAACCAATTGGTTAATATTAAATCCTGCTCAAAGCCATTTCATAGTGGTCCCCATCAATACATGTCCTGCTCAGGTAGATGTCTGGCATCATTCTTTATGCATGGTATTTGGCACAGTACTATGGTTTGATAGTAGCAGACAGTTTTCCTCCAGATTCTGTTGAGTTGTCTCTGTAATCACATACAAATCCTCTTCCACCTTGCCCATTCCAGCTCTCCAGGCTTCTTTCTTGGTTTTGGCCTTGTGGCACTGCTGAATCCTAGTGTGCAAAGAAACATTTTCTCATTCCACTTAGTGTAACTATCTGGGTCAGATTTCTAGGTGATACCTGTACTTGGAATGGGTCTATAATTTTCCCAAAAAAATAAAGGCCATCTGAATTTTTTCTCCTGGTCATGGGCCTACTCACCTGATGATTCTGTGTCACCATTATACTGTTCCCCCTAAAGAGACCTCTGAAGAATGATTTGCTTTTTTGAAAGGTCCTCATCAAAACGTGTGTGTGTGTGTGTGTGTGTGTGTGTGTGTGTGTGGTACCAGGGATTGAACTTGAGACACTGCACTTGCAAGTCAGGCACTTACACTGCTAAGCTATATCCCCGGCTACACATAAAAATCTTTAGTGTCCTGAGAGGATCCTAAAGAGAAAGCTCTTTCAGAATCTGAGGATATATATATTTGTTTAAAAAAAAAAAAAAAGACAGACCAATTTAATAAGCATAGAAGTAGATTTTCTATTTTGAATTATATCCAGTAGTCTTACAGGTCTTTGGCAGCCAAGAGCTGTCAAGAAAAGAAGTAGATCTGTACCTGCCTAGAACAGAGCCAGGGTGTCCTGCCTGTGCTCCCTCCATCTCTCTCTGTTCTGCCCAGGGGAGCACTTTGAGGGGATTTGGCCCTAATTCTAGCAAATGGTTATCTTGCTCTAGTGAGCATTTTTATGGAATTAGAAGTGATGGATAGTCTCTGCCTTCTGTTTTGCTATAAGCCAGATAAAAGATGTGTCCTATAGGCCAGTAGAGATAGAGGACATTGGAATTTTTCTGATGATGTTACAAACTTTTTGTTTGGGGGGGGGCGGCTGGGGAGATGGCTCAGTGGAATAAGTGCTTCCCTGGCAAGCACAAGAGCCTGAGTTCAATCCCCAGTTCTGCAAAAAAAAAGAAAAGAAAGAAATGCTGGGTATGCTGACACATGCCTATAATCCCAGAACTTCAGAGGCTAAGACAGGAGGATTGCCACAAGTTGGAAGCCAGCCTGAACTACATAATGAATTCAAGGCCAACCTGAACTCTGTAGCAAGACCCTGTCTGAAAAAGAAAAAGAAAAAAAAAAGATTGGGAGCATAAAGTTTAAGACTAGTTTGTCCAGATTCAAATCCCAGTGCTCCCACTTAACTCTGTGTGATTTTAGTGAAATTTTTCCCCTTCATTTCTGTGTCTGTTAAACAGGATTAACAGTGTAGTCACTCTCATAAACATTAACCCTAAATTAGTGTATATAAGTGCTTAGACACAGTACATGTCACATAAGTGTTACCTGTCTCTATAGTCATCCTCCATCATTTTTCTCTCATGAATGTTGTTTGGGATTTTGTCTTACTTAAACTCAGAATTCCTGAAATCTGTGGTTCTGAAACTTCGTGAGGCATCAGAATCACATAAAAGTCTTGTTAAAATCTTGGTTGGACCACACTGAAAGGAGTTTCAGATTTAGTAGGTCTGTGATAAGGCTCAAGAATTTCCATTTTTTGGGCTGGCCAGACACCTTCAGCAGATTAAAGCAGCTGCTTAGGCAGATACAGGGACTGGGGTTCAATCGAACCCTCCACCCCCAGTGTGCAGTGCTGGCCCCACCCCCCAGGGGGTGCCCTGAGAAGGCAATTGAGACTGGGCATTGTGGTTTGCACCTGTAATCCCAGGCTTAGAAGGCTGAAGAAAACAGGAGGGTCACTATGAGTTCAATCTGTGTAGTGAGATCCTATACACCATGTGCTAAATACATAACAAAATTTTTTTAAAAATTTTTTTTTCATTTCTGCCTGGTGTAGTGACACATGTCTGATCCCAGCACTCGGAAAGCTGAGGCAGGAGGATCACTTCTAGTTCGAGGCCCGCCTGAACTACATTATTAGACCCTGCCTCAAAAAACAAAAAAAAAGAATTTCTGTTTCTGGCCTGTAGTACATGTGCATGTCTATAATCCCAGCATTCAGGAGGCTGAGGCTGAGGCAGAAAGGTTGCTGGGAGTTTGAGGCCAGCCTGGGTTACAAAGTGAGTTCAGTTCAAGGCTGACCTGAACTATACAGTGAAGTCCTATCTCAAAAAGACAAACAAGAAAAAAAGGTACTTGCATGTCTAAGAAGTTCCTGGGTTACCTGGGTTATGCACTGCTGCTGGGCCCAGGACCACCCTCTGAGAACCACGGCCCTAGGGACTGCTGTGACATGCAAAGGAGAAATAAGTTGCCTTCTGCTTCTGTACTGTGACAGAGCAACTGAAGCAGCAGCAGGCCTCATCTTCAGTGTTGGGCGAGAACACAGCACATCATCCCAGCATCACTGCAGATGGTAAGCTACTACCCAGACCTGTTTCATCAGGTACTTCTGTAACACTGTCCTTGGCCACATAGTTTTACATAGGGGAAGTGTGACCTTGAGAAGGTACGGCCTCTCCTCAATTCTGACTCCACAATAACTTTTTTGGGGAGAGAGAAATGCTTTGACACAAGGTCTCACTATGCAGTCTAGATGAGGCTGCAGCAGTTACTTTTGTGTGGCAGAGTGTGTAATGTCCCTGAGCCTTAGTCATTCTTATCTGTAACATGGACATAATAAATCCTGTGTCATAGTGTATATCATGGCTCCATGAACAGTGCCTGGTACATTGTAAAATAATTAACAAATTAGTATTAATAAGTTAGGGTTAATTTGCTAAAATACCTAACAGATTAGTTCCCTTCCCTACATAGAATTGCTGGATGAAATCAAATAGTATATTAAAATTGCTTGGGATACATTATAGGGTACATCTCTTCCCCATGCAAACTCCTTCCCTGGGGCTCCAACCTAAAAACAGTTACGAAGTGAAAACAGGATGCTCCCCCAAAGTAAATGTGTGTAGTTTATTTTCAGTAGTTGTTGCCTAATCTTTTGTGTGCCTTTCTTTTGTTTCCTCTGTCTCTCTGAATGTTGGCTTAAGCTGAGTTTGCTGCAACACCCCAGAGGCCGCTGCTGTGGATACAGGTGTCTGCAGACTGCCACCTGGCTCCCTGGTGTCATGGGGAAAATGGAGCTTGTGTATTGCATACTTCAGAGACCACCAATGGCCTTATTTTTTGTATTCCATTTTGGTTTTTTTGTTTTTTATTCTGTTTTGGGGAGGGGGTTGGGTTTTTTTTTTGTGTGTGTGTACTGGGAACTAAACTCAGTTCCTTGCAGTTGTCTAGCAGGTACTGTATCACTGAGCTATATTCCCAGCCCTGTACTCCATTTTGTAAATCAGACTTTCTCAATTTTTTTCATTGTTTGTTTGTTGGGGGGGTTTGTTTTGCTCTTTGAAACAGGGTCATACTAGTGCAGGCTGACCTTGAACTCACTATGTAACAGCCCAGACTAGTCTCAAAATTGTGGTGATCCTTCAGCCTGCTAAGTGCTAGGATTACAGGCATGCACTACAAACCCACTAATTTTTTTTCTCATTCTAATAAAGTCACTTTTTTCAACAATTTTTAGGTCCAGAGCATTTGGAAGAACAAGAAAATGACAGTAATAAAGAAGATAGCAGTTTGCTTTGGACCAGAGAATCACAGGATGTAGGAGATGACACAGAAAGGTAATAGAAAAAGCTAGACTTATAAAAGGATTTTTTCTTATACATAAATGATTTATTTATTAAGCAAAAACTATAAACAACTTAAATTCTTCTCAACAGGTAAATGGTTATATCTAGCTATATGGTAGCATAATTCAGCAATAAATGGTAATAATTACAGTGGTACCTTGGCTCATGAATGCTTCTGTTTGCAGTTGGCTTGCAAACAAACATTTGCCAAAATTTTGTTTTGTTTGCAAACTCTGCATTGGCAGGGAACATGACTACAGCCATCCTTCCCACATGAACGTGAACATGGCTGTTTTCTAGAATTGTGAAACAAATTAAGTTCATGAACCTTTGTACCACTATATGTAATTTTTATCTTTTGTAGTTCTGGTAATTAAACATATGGCCTCGTGCAAGCTAAACACATGCTGTACCACTTAACTGCACCCCCAACCTACAGAGGGAACTTTTCAAGGACACAGTAATCTGGATGTTTCAAGCTTATGATGAGTAAAAGAAACCAGACTCCTCTCCACTAAAAGTATATAATACACATTTCCTTCTATATAAAACTTTAGAAACAAAAGATGACAATGAAAATAAAAACATAAAAGATAGGTAGGAAACATAGGAAAGAGAAGTGAAATTGTAAAAGGTCAAGATTGTTTTGGAGGGGCTGGTGAGATGGCTCAGTGGTCTAAAGCACCTACTTAGAACAAGCTTAACAAAGCACAGGGACCGCGGTTCAATCCCCCAGCACCACATGCCAGCCAGCCCCGCCCCCTGGTGGGCTGAGCTAGCCACACACACACAAAAATATAAATAAATAAAAATGTTTTTTAAAAAGTAAAAAAAAAAGAGTGTTTTGGAGATACATGTTACTTGCTTTTTTTTTTTTTTTTTTTTTTTTTTTTTTTTTTTGCTTTTGTTTTTACAGATAAGTAAAACCACACAACTTTTATTTATTTTAAAAGACACTTTAAAAAAAAAAAAAAAGGCCTGGGATATAGATCAGTGGCACAACGTCTACCTGGAAAGCACAAGGTTCTGAGTTTGATTCCCAGTACCAAAATTTAAAAAAAAGAGGGCCAGGCATTTAGCTCAGTGGCACAGCACCTGCCTGGCAAGTATGAAGTCATGAACTTGATTTCCAGTACAAACAGGGAGAGGTAATTGATGTCTTAAAAAAAAAATTGAAAGAAAATAAATGTTGGAAAATATACAACATAATTTTAAAATGTCCCATATAAAACTTGATTCTGCATATCCAAACTGTACACCATTTCCATAGATTCGTAATAGTAAACTGGCAATTGGAATTTCACTAGGCTTCTCCAAAACAACATACAGAGCAAGGTATAATTGCATTTTCCAGGCAGTTAAAGAACAGAAGTGTTAGGGCCAGCCAGATAGCTCAGCAGATTAAAGCGCCTGCTTAGGAAGATGCAGGGGCCAGGGGTTCAATTCCCAGCCTGTCCTGCCAGCCCTGCCCCCGGGCCACAGTGAGACAACAGTTGAGAATGGGCATGGTAGTACGCACCTGTAATCCCAGCGCTTGGGAGGCTGAAAAACAGGAAGGATCACTACAAGTCCAATCTGTGTAGTGAGACCCTGTAGACCCTATACTAAATACATTTTTTTAAAAAGTGTCAGCAAACAATGTCATATTGTCAAAACCTCTTTGACATTTGAAGGCTGTATAGAAAATACAGTGTGCAAAGGCTTAGGAATTCTTTATACGTATACTCTTCTTGAGGAATCTACTAAACAAAAAGTTCTAATCTAGGGAAAACTGAAAACTCCAAAGAATGAATGGTGGGTATGAGGGTTAGTTAGTAACTTGTTTAAACTACACAATGCCTAAGAAATTTGTAAAGCACATTTCCAGGTGTGCCTGTGAGGGTGTTCACAGAGAAGATGGGCATGTGGAAGAGCAGACTGAGGAGAAAGAATAAAAGACTCATTTAGAATGGGGGCAACACTATTCAGTAAGAAGCCCAAGAGCACAGCATATTCAGTCATTTCTTTCTTCCTCCTCATTCTTTGTCTTCTCCATGTCTTCTTCCTCTCTTTTCCTTTTGCTCTTCTCCTCTTCCTTCCCCTATTCTTCCTCCTCCCTCTAACCATGTTATTTGTGGTGATACTTTCATAATTGTACATATGTCAAATATCATTACACACATTACTATTTACTGATGTCAGTTTACCTCAGTAATACATTATTGGGCCAGGGATGTAGCTCAGTGGCATAGCACCTGCCTGGCAAGTGTAAGGTCCTGAGTTCGGTTTTTGAATTTAAAAAAAAAAACCCTACAGGTGAACTGAATTTGCTTAAATTTTTTGTGGTCCTGTTGATCAAACCAAGCGCTCCAGACATACCACACTAGCACTCTTCACACTGAGCCTCAGCCCACTGAACATTTTTTAGTTAATGCAAAAAGTCTTTTTTTTTTGGTGGAACCAGGGATTGAACTCAAGCCCTTGCGCTTGCCAGGGAAGCGCTTATTCCACTGAGCCATCTCCCCAGCCCCTTAAAAAAAGTCTTTTATAATAATAAGTATATATTTTCTTTCTTTGTGTGGTGGAGACTATACCTCACTTGTGAATCATATGCTGTACTACTGAAATACATCCCCAACATGAGTGTGTTGCATTTATTTATTTATTTTATGTATTTATTTTTGTATTTTAGGGAAGAGTCTACAGGGTATTGAGGGTCTCACTACTAGATTGAACTCGTAGTGATCTACCTGTTTACAGCCTCCCAAGAGCTGAGATTACAGGCGCGCGCCACCATGCCCATTCTCAATTGCTGTCTCAGCACGCCCAGAGGGTGGGGCCAGCACAGCAGGCCCGGGGATCAAACCTCCAGCCCTGCACCTGCTTGCAGACACTTTAATCTGCTGAGCTATTTGGCCAGCCCAGTTTTTTTTAATGTATTTGGTACAGGATCTCACTGTGCGATTTGGACTCAAGCTATTTTCAACCTCCCCAGCACTGGGATTACAGGCGTGCCCCACCATTCCTGGTTTCAGATGCCCATTTTTGGGGTGTGTCTTTAAGGTTGGGGGCTCTTTTTTTGGGGGGTTGGTTTGTTTTTTGTTTTTGTCTTTTTGAGACAGGTTCTCACTGTGTAGTTTAGGCTGGCCTTAAACTCACTTTGTAGCCCAGGCCATTCTTGAACTTGCAAAGATGCTCTTGCCTCTGCCTCCCCAGTGCTAGGATTACAGGTATGCACCACCACACCCAGCCTTGGAGGGTCTGATTTTGAGTTCTTTATATATTCTAAATATCATTTTCATTGAGTTTGTCATTTGTATGCAGTAATGCTATTGATTTTTGAGTGTTGACTTTGTATCCTGCTACCATACTGAATTTGGTTATTAAACCTAGGAGTTTCTCTCTCTTTTTTTTTTTTTTTTTTTTTAAGGGAAGGGTCTACATGATGTTCACGGTCTCACTACTAGATCAGACTCATAGTGATCCACCTGTTTTCAACCTCCCAAGAGCTGGCATTACAGAGGGGCGCGCCACCATGCCCAGTCTCAGTTGCCATCTCAGCGTGCCCCGGGGGCAGGGCCAGCAGGACAGACCCAGAGATTGAACCCCCCACCCCTGTGCCTGCTTGCAGGAGCTTTAATCTGCTAAGCTATTTGGCCAGCCCTACCTAGGAATCTTTTAGTGGAATTTTTGGAGTCTTCCATGTAGAATATTGTGATACCTGCAAATGATAATTCCTTATTCATTGTATTTCTTTCACTACATTAATATTTAGTATGAGGTCTCACTACACAGGTCAGATTCATAGTGATCCTCCTGTTTTCAGCCTTCCTTGCACTGGGATTACAGGCACTATCACGCTCAGTCTATTTGTCTCAGCACCCCTGGGGGTGGGCCCAGCTTGCCAAAGATCAAACTGGGCCTCCCTAAGCAGACGCTTTAATCCTGAGCTATCTGACCAAACAAATATCCTTGTCTTGTTCCTAACTTTTAATTGAAAACTTTCAGTTTTTGACCATTCAGTATAATGCTAGCTGTTGATTCATCATAGGTGGCTTTTCTCAGATTGAGATAAAGACCATCTATTCCAGTTTTTCGTATGTAGTTAGTACAGGGTCTACAGGGTGTCAGTACATAGATCAGATTCATAGTGATTCTCCTGTTTTCAGCCTCCCAAGCCCTGAGATACAAGAGCACATGCTACCACACCCAGTCTCAATCCCCATCTCAGTGCACCCTGGGTGCAGAGCTGACATGGCATGCCAGGGGTCAAACCTCGGCTGGTATGCTCTGCTTAATCAGGTGCTTTAGTCCGCTGAGCTATGTGGCTGACGCTATGGAAGGTTTTTTTTTTTTTTTTTTTATTTTATTTTTTTTTTTTTTTTTGTGTGTGTGTGTGTGTGTGTGTGTGTGTGTGTGTGTGTGTGGCCAGCTCAGCCCACCAGGGGGCGGGGCTGGCTGGCATGTGGTGCTGGGGGATTGAACCGCGGTCCCTGTGCTTTGCCAAGCTTGTTCCAAGTAGGTGCTTTAGACCACTGAGCCATCTCTCCAGCCCCATATGGAAGGTTTTTAATCATAAATGGGTATTGGACTTTGTCAAATGCTTTTTTGTGCATCTAGTGAGATGATCATGTGGTTTTCATCCTTGAGTCTATTAATGTATTAAATTTATTTGTGTGTTGAGTCATATTGTATAATCTTCTTAATAATAAGCTTCATTTTGTTTGCCAGTATCTTACCAAGAATTTTTGCATCTATTCTGTATTTCTTTTTTTGGTTGGTTGCGTCCTTCTCTGGTTTTAGAATCGGGGATAATGCTTACTTATAGGAATCAGTTTGGGAGTATTACTTCCCTTTCAATTTCATTAAAGAGTTTGAGGAATAGTGACATTAAGTCTCTAAATTTGTTATAGAATTCAACAGTGAATCTGTCAGGACTGGACATTTTTTTTCTGGTTGGTAATTTTTAAATGACTTCAATTTTATTGACTGATAGTGGTTTGTTTAAAATTTTTACATCTTCTTGATTCAGTTTTGGTAATTCATATATATGTAGGAATCTGTCCATTTCTTCTGCATTTTCCATCATATTAGAGTACAGGTTCTCAAAGTAGGAATACATGATCTTTTTGTTTTGGGGTTTTTTTTTGGGGGGGTTGTATTTTAGGGAAGGGTCTACAGGGTGTTCAGGATCTCAATGCTAGTTCGGACTAGTAGTGATCCGCCTGTTTACAGCCTCCCAAGAGCTGGGACTATAGCACACACCACCAGGCCCAGTCTCAATCGCTGTCTCAGTGTGCCCTGGGGGTGGAGCCAGCACTGCAGGTCTGAGAATCAAACTCTTAGCACCTGCATCTGCTTGCAGGAGCTTTAATCCACTGAGCTATTTGGCTGGCCCTTGATTCTTTGTATTCTTAATCTCATTTGCATTAATTTTTCTGCTCTGATCTTTATAATTTCCTCTGTCATGTGCCCTTTGGGTTTAACTTGCTCTTCAATTTTTTTAGAAGCTTGAAGTTCAGCATTAGGTTCATATTTGAGCTTGTTCTACTTTTCTTTTTTGGCGGTACTGGGGCTTGAACTCATGACCTTGAACTTGCCAGGCAAGCACTTATTCTACTGAGCTATCTCCCCAGCCCTGTTCTACTTTTTCTTTCTTTTTTTCTTTTTGTAATATGGGAATGCATCACTATAAATTTCCCTTGTTGGACTGCTTTCATTGTGTCCCATGCATTCCAATCTATTGTATTAGCATTATTATTTAACTGTAGAAACTATCTAAACTTCATCTTTAGTTTCACCTGTGATCTGTTGGTTGTTCGGAAAGGTGTTAATATCCATGTGTCTATGTAATTTATACAGTTTTATGGTGTCTTTGTCAATGATTTCCAGTTTCATTGCACTGTGATCTGATAATACGTATGGGATAATTTCATTTTCTTTGCACTTAGTTAAGCATGTTTTGTGAGCTAATATGTGGTCTATTTTGGAGAAGTTCCATGTGCTGCTGTTGAGAAAAATGTATATGCTGCATACACAAAAATATCCACTTAGAAGAGTGACTTTACCCTCAGGGGAGAAAGGTTAAAAGTGATGAGAAAAAAATAGAAACACAAAAGAAAAAAAAAGTGATTACAAACAAGGCTGAAGGACAAAGGAAGATTACCTAACTAAATTCCAGGAAACTGGTAAAGACAACAGGAGGAAAAAAATTAAAAACAATGTTCACACTCATAAAAAAGCAAAAACAAAAAAAAAATATATATATATATATATATAAAGCAAAAACAATGAAGGAAAAGAGCAAACAACAAAAGCAAAAAAAAAAAAAAAAAAAAAAAACGAGAGAGATTTCTCTGTTTTCAAGCCCATGATTATCTTGGTTCTACAGTTTTGTGAGAGCATCCAATTTAGGGCATGGCTCTGCTGTCACTGGTAGAGAGGAGATGACAAAACCTTCCATGCTGGATGATGCCATCAAGATTTGGTGGAATTAGGATGGGATGCTGGGTAATCCCACCAAATCTACAGTAGGAGAGGAACCAACTCTGATACTTTCAACTCCACAGAAGTTCAGGTTGGATGATTGTGGTCTCTAGTTATTAGGCTGATGTCTGAGTTAAGTCTACAACACTCTGGGTGTCACTTGCAGGCATGTCCAAGGTTCCCTGTCCCTGGACACCTCCCATGGTTGTCTCTCACCTAGGCACTGTGGGATTTCCGTATTGGAGCCCTGAGATGAAGCCAACCCATAGCGTTTCTGCATCCTGGATTCAGTTGGCCCTTCCCTAAAATGGCATCTGGCTGAGTGTGTCTAAGGCACACAGCAGTCACTTAGACTGGAGTCAGTCAACAGATGTTTCAGTTCATAGTATGGCAAAAGAGGAAAGAAAGTATTTTTTTTTCAACAGTTTTAGAGACCAAGATGGCACCAAAGGTGAAGAAGGAAGCCCCTGCCCCTCCCAAAGCTGAAGCCAAAACAAAAGCTTTGAAGGCCAAGAAGGCCATGCTGAAAGGCATCCACAGTCACAAAAAAGAAATAGGAACCTCACCTACCTTCTGCCGTCCCAAGATACTGCGGCTCCAGATACCCTCAGAAGAGCACCCCTGGAAGAAACAAGCTTGACCACTATGCCATCATCAAGTTCCCCGAGCACAGAGTTAGCCATGAAAAAGACTAAGGACAACAACACACTCATGTTCATTGTGGATGTCAAAGCCAATAAGCAGGGCTGGTGAGATGGCTCAGTGGTCTAAAGCACCTACTTAGAACAAGCTAAGCTAAGCAAAAGCACAGGGACCGTGGTTCAATCCCCAGCACCACGTGCCAGCCAGCCCCACCCCCTGGTGGGCTGAGCTGGTGCCACACACACTAAATTAATTAATTAATTAAAAAAAGAAAGTTTTAGAAACATGGAGCTGCCAGGGAGATGACTCAGTGGAATAAGCACTTCCCTGGCAAGTGCAAGAGCCTGAGTTCAATCCCCGGTTCCAAAAAAAAAAGAGGAGGAATTAGAAACATGGAGCTAATGAATATAACTCAGCAACGCAAATGCCTGCTGACAAACACAAGGCCCTGAATTCAATTCCCAGTACAAAAAAATAAAGTTTTAGAAACTTGTTGTCTGTGATTTTTTTTTAATTTTATTTATTTATTTGTGTGTGTGTGTGTGTGTGTGTGTGTGTGCCCAGCTCAGCCCACCAGGGGGCGGGGCTGGCTGGCATGTGGTGCTGGGGATTGAACCGTGGTCCCTGTGCTTTGCTAAGCTTGTTCTAAGTAGGTGCTTTAGACCACTGAGCCATCTTACCAGCCCCTGTCTGTGATATTAAATGTAACTCTATTCCTTCTATGTCCCTAAACCACCTTGAATAAAACTGATGCCTGTTAAGCTGGGCACAGTGGCACACTTCTATAATCCCAGCATTTGGTAGGCTAAGACAGAAGGTCATGGTGAGTTCAAGGCCAGCCTGAACTATATAAATGAGAGCCTGTCTCAAAAATTTTTTTTACAAAAAAGAATTTTATCTTTATTTGGTACAGGGCCTCACTACATAGCTTGGACTCATAGTGATCCTCCTGTCTCAGCCTCCCCAGCATTGGGATTCTAGGCATGGGCCACCACACTAGGTTTTAGTGACCAACACGGTGCACACGGGGTTCTGAAGCCAGCATGGCATGTGGTACTGGGGATCAAACCTGGATCCTTGTGCTTGCCAGGCAGGTGCTTAGACCACTGAGCTATCTCTCCAACCCAAGAAAACAAAATTACACCTTTTTACCAAAAAAAAAATTTTTTTTTTTTTTTTTTCGGAACTGGGGATTGAACTCAGGCACTTGTGCTTGCCAGGCAAGTGCTTATTCTGCTGAGCTGTCTCCCTGGCCCCCTGTCTCTTCCTTTTCTAAAAGAGCTGCTGGTGTTGACCACAGATATTGTTCCACAGATGCTCAGGCCTCTTGAGTAGAATGAATGCTCTTTCTTAAGCACAAAGTTAGAGGGAAAATTTTGTTTTCACAAAGAAAACTGTTCAGGCCTTAAAAGACCATTCTCACATGCCTCGCCAGCCCCATTCCAGGCACGCTGAGCCTGAGCTGGCCACCAAGACCAGATGTGGTGTTGTATGCCTGTAATCCCAGCACTGGGGAGGCTGAAAACAGGATCACTGTGAGTCCAAGCTGCATAGTGAGACTCTGTGCCAAATACAATAAAAATAAATAAAACATTTTCTCATCTTCTAGCCTCAAGTTTTTAGAAAAAAAAACATAAGGAAAATAACATACAATTCTAACTTTGGGTAAAAATCAACATAATGACTTAGCATTGTACTTTAGGAGAAGCTGGGCTGGTCTCATAGATGCCAAAGAGCTTTAAAAAAAAAAAAAAAAATGTTTCTTTGCCTGCTTGTTTGCTTGCGGTCCTGGGATTTCAATCAGGGTCTGTGAACTGAGTTACATCCTCAGACCATTTGATTTTATTTTCAGAAGGATTTTTTTTGGGGGGGGAGGGAGGGGAAGATGGTTCAGGATGCTCAAGGACAGGTTTGGTAAGGCATGAGGATCTGAGGATGGAACCACAGCATCCTGAGGCTGACTGCTTTGTTTAAGCAGGCACTTAAACAACTGAGCTAATAGGCAGACTCCCTTTATTTTATTTTGAGGTAGGGTCTCACAAAGTCACTAAACTTCTCAATCTGGGCTCTGTCTGGTAATCCTGCCTCAGCCACCCAACATGCTGTAACCACAGGTGTGCCAGAATGCTTGGCTTTAAACAGCTAATTTGTTGTACATTTAAATCAGATCTGTGGGGCTGGGGAGATGGCTTAGTGGAATAAGCACGTCCCTGGCAAGCGCAAGGGCCTGAGTTCAATCCTTGATTCTGCCAAGAATAATAAATAAATCAGATCTCTGGATCCTCTAACCACTTGTTTCCTCAATTATATAGTGAAAGCACTGATGGTTAGGGTCTCTTCCCACTCTAAAGTATTATGCTTCCTTGTCAAGGAACAGTGACTATCTTCATTCTCTCCATTTGTCCTTGAATAGGGCTCACTCTACTCTGGATGAAGACTTGGAAAGATGGCTACAGCCACCTGATGAGAACATAGAGCTCCATGACTCCTGCAAAAGCTTTAAAAGGTTATTGTTCTCCATTAGGGGATTATTTTCTTTCTCCTCCTCTTCTACCCTTTTCTTTACAGGGGAAAGAATGCATATGTGAAAGGTACAGTAGTATTAGATTTAGATACCTGTTCAGGAAGTGGGGCTAGGATAGGCTCCTGGGGGAATGAGTGTCTGGCAACGCCATTACACCGCTGCACATAGGCCGGCTCTCGCTCTATCTTACTACTCTCATGCTTGCTCCTCTTCCTCCAGCCACCCACAGTGCTCATTTTGGCTAATTTTGGAAGATGGCACTTCAGGCAGATAGAGGCTTGAGATTACTGCATTTTCATCCTACCACCTTCACCATTTTCATCAATCATTTGAATTAAATCAGAAGAGGCACCCTTATCAAATTCTGAGATAACAAATATCAGAATGAACTCTTAATGTGATGAATGATAGACTAAAGGTCCAAAACAGTCCTTTTTTCTCTGCATTTAGGACAGGGTCTACAGAGTTTCACTATGTAGATCGGACTCACAGTGATTCTCCTGTTTTCAGCCTCCCAAGCATTGGGATTACAGTTGCACACCCCAAAATAGTCTTGATGGGTAGAAATGTTAATGGTAAAGCTGGGCACAGTGGTGCACACCTGTAGTCCCAGCTCCTCAGGAGGCTGAGACCGGAGAATTGTTAGATCTGAGGAATTCAAGGCTAGGTGGACAACTTAGGGAGACCCACCTAAAAAAGGGAAAACCCAAAAGTTTTAGATCTGGCAGCATAAAATCCCGGACATCTGTTCTGAATGGATATTTTTGAATTGAAAGCCTTTTCTCAGTAATAACATTGAAAGCAGGAAGTCTTATTTGTATATATCCAGCACTTCACATGCATCTTGAAACACAGTAAGAATTCCAGAAATTCCTGAGCAATGCAAGGTTTTCAGGCCTCAGCCTGTAAGGCCTCAGGCTGATAAGTATTGAAAATGTCAGTGCTGCAGTCTGGATCCAGTGATGGGTGAAACAGGTAATGTGCTATTTAGAGGACTCCTAGGATATAATGTGGAGCCCCCTTTGGCTGTCACATTTACACAGGGATCTTAACAGAGAGAAGAGTGTAGGCACAGAGAGTCAGAGGTCTGCACAGCAGGTAGATGACAGCAGCCAACGGAGCTGCAGAGCTCAGCCTGAGCAGAGCAGATGGAGGAGAGAACCTGAGAGTCTCGCTCGCATGCCTGAAGTGCTGTGAAGCCAACAGAGTTGGCTTACTCTCTCCTGTCCCAAAGGACATAGCTGGTGACTGGAAATTGCAGTTATTCAGTAGAGGGCAGACTTTCTCCTGGTTACAGCCATGGGACCAGGAAAGCAACTGCCCTTTCCCTTCCAACATGGGTGCTGCTGCTCAGGAGAGGCTGGATGACTAGTTTTGGTACCTGGACAGAGATAGAAGATAACTCACTCTCAAGCCTGCAGTAAGAGTAAAAGTCCCCTTTCACCATACCTAAGCTTCTTTCTTTTTTCTGTTTTTGCTGTGTGGGGATTGAATGCAGGACCTTGTACATACTAATATTCTGCCACTGGACTGCATACTCATCCCCTTTCATGTTATATATTTTGTTTTGTCTGTGGAATGAGAACAGAAGAAGCTTTGAACAGTGTTACTTTGGTTCATCCAGCTTCCTTAGCACTGATAGTGAACCAGGAACTGTGCTTGGGCTGAGGTACACATAGAGAAAGAGACATCTCTACCTTAAGGAGCATATAGTTGAGATGAGGGAACATCTTCCACCTGATAATTGAAAAAATGTAGTCTTAAATTGTAAGATATTTAAATTATGTAGGCATTTCATACCAGAGGAAGTTTCAGAAAATGAAGATGAAGAAAGATGCTTTTCCAAAGTATGCCTATTAGTACATAATTAAAATACATTTTCTTTTTGTGATTACCTATATAGTGTAGTAAACAAAAGCAGAGTCTGATTAGCTAGGCTGTTGGATCGATCCTAGCTCTAGAACTTACTAGATGTGTAGCTTCTCTGTGCCTCAGTTTCCTCTTGAGGTAATGGAATGGTAGTGGTAACTACTTTAGTTGTTGTAAGAATTGAGCTAACGAGTCGGGGAGATAGCTCGGTGGCCTAAGTGCTTGCCTGGCAAGCACAAAGACCCAGATTTGATCCCTAGCACCACACCGTGCTGGCCCCCCAAACGCTGGGCACACCATGCCAGCCACTGAAACCAGGCATGGTGGTGCACACCTGTAATCCCAGCACTGGAGAGACTGAGACGGGATCACTATGAGTCCAAGCTGTGTAGCAAGACCCCATACCAAATAAATAAAAGTTTTTTTAAAAAATACAAAGAAGGGCTGGTGAGATGGCTCAGTGGTCTAGAGCACCTACTTAGAATAAGCTTAGCAAAAAAAAAAAAGCACAGGGACCGCGGTTCGATCCCCCAGCACCACATGCCAGCCAGCCCCGCCCCCTGGTGGGCTGAGCTGGCCGCGCACACACACACACACACATAAATAAATAAATAAATTTAAAAAAATAAAAATAAAAAAAAATAAAAATACAAAGAATTGAGTTAACATACCTTATAGTACACAAACCTACATCTGGCCCACAGGAATGCTCCCATAGGGCTAAGTACTATTTGTCTCCTTTGGGGTGCTGTCCTGTTTTCCTGGATCTTGGGCATGTGGTTTAATGCCCCAAATCATTCTCATTAAAGGAACACAAAAACCAAGGATCAAGACTTTGGTGAAAAGATCAAAAGGAAAGAAAGCATCAAACTAGAGAGAAGGAAATCAGAAAGCCTTTTAGGGACTTGTGAAGAAGGTATGAATGAAAAATTGTTTATAATGTGGTCTGCCAACCTTGGGTTTTCTGGGCATCGAGTTACTAAAAAATGTTTCCCAGATACTATATATAATCTTCCTGTGACTCACAGTTCCCTTCAGTTCAGTCTAGACCTCCCCCTAACTTCCAGTCATCACTTTATCTAGTTCTCATTTTAAAATGAGCTGTTGAGGGGCTGGCGAGATGGCTCAGTGGTCTAAAGCACCTACTTGGAACAAGCTTGGCAAAGCACAGGGACTGCGGTTTGATCCCCCAGCACCACATGC